ATATTCAATGCAAGGGCAGATGTTCATTTTTTTAAAGGAAGGTTAGGGTGGAAAAATTTCTAGTGGGGTGCAAGCGGCACCACTGAGCGAGCTTCGGCAGTGGTTAAAGTTAAAAACTTTCACACAAAATAGAAAGGGGTGAAGCGAAATTTTGGTGGGATTGAACATAATTAAGAGGGTTAGAGAGATAGGGGGTTTAACTCCCTAGTAAATCTGCCCATGGGATAGCCTTAGATGGGTTTAACCCCCTTAACCCTTGGAACATTGAAATTTCTTTACGTTTTCACCATTTTTGATACAACCAATAAAGGGATCATACGTCAGTGTTTGGTAACACAGCTTTTTGATAATTACGACACAAATTTCTCCATAACTCGGGAGCCTCGTTCTCATGAATTGTGAGCAAATTAGTGTTGACCAATTGTGCTACAATCAAGAAATCTGGCTTACAAACCTTTAAAAGACGCTTTCCATGATCAGGAATTGAATGTTTGTTTGCAACAAACGCATCAATAATTCCTAGAAAATGTTGTAAAAATATACTCAGAATATGAGAACTGTTAGTAAACACCCAATAGGATTTTTGGTTTGTGTAATATTTGGGTTATTCTAAGAAGAAATGTAATAGATCTTTATAATAAAAAATCCCATCTTGATTAACTTTTTCATCTTCAAAAAACTCCCTTTTCAAATAGCAAAACATCCCTTTTCAAATAGCAATTTAACTCCCTTTACAAATAGCAAAATTCCCTTTTCAAATAGCAAAACTCTGTTTTCAAATATACAAAACTCCGTTTTCAAATAGCAAAACACCCTTTTCAAGTAGCAAAACTCCCTTTTCAAATAGCAAAACTCCCTTTTCAAATAGCAAAACTCCCTTTTCAAATAGCAAAACACCCTTTTCAAATAGCAAAACACCCTTTTCAAAAAGAAAACTCCGTTTTTAAATAGCAAACCTCCCTTTTCAAATAGCAAAACACCCTTTTCAAATAGCAAAACACCCTTTTCAAGTAGCAAAACTCCCTTTTCAAGTAGCAAAACTCCCTTTTCAAATGGCAAAACTCCCTTTTCGAATAGCAAAACTCCCTTTTCAAATAGCAAAACACCCTTTTCAAATAGCAAAACACCCTTTTCAAAAAGAAAACTCTGTTTTCAAATAGCAAAACTCCGTTTTCAAATAGCAAACCTCCCTTTTCAAATAGCAAAACACCCTTTTCAAATAGCTTTAAGTGATATGCTTAAGTGACATTCTTAAGGGTAGTACCTGGACAAATTGAACAAGCTTTCAAGGTCTTGAGAACTGCACGCAACTCTCCTTTTTGACCTTGTGCTGAACCTGAACTGGTCAGTGCCTATAAAATATGTACAGTACAGTATCAAGATTGATGATCAGACAGATGATCTGTGTCAGCTCTAGTTAGAATAAAGCTACAGTTTTAATAGAGAAATAAGTTTTGTACACTGTATCAGGCTTTTAGCCAGGATCCTAAAAGAGGGCGGTCAATTTTGGTTACATCTACAGCAAAGAGGGGGAG